TGTGTGTTGTGTGTGTGGTGTGTGTGTGTGGTGTGTGGTGGTGTGTGTGTGTGTGTGTGTGTGTGTGTGTGTGGTGTGGTGTGTGTGGTGTGTGTGTGTGTGGTTGGTTGGTTGTGTGTGTGTGTGTGTGTGTGGTGTGTGTGTGTGTGTGTGTGTGTGTGTGTGTGTGTGTGTGTGTGTGTGTGGTGTGTGTGTGTGTGTGTGTGTGTGTGTGTGTGTGTGGTGTGTGGTGTGTGTGTGTGTGGTGTGTGTGTGTGTGTGTGTGTGTGTGTGTGTGTGTGTTGTGTGTGTGTGTGTGTTGTGTGTGTGTGTGTGTGTGTGTGTGTGTGTGTGTGTTGTGGTGTGTGTGTGTGTGTGTGTGTGTGTGTGTGTGTGTGTGTGTGTGTGTGTGTGTGTGTGTTGTACACACGAGCGCACACGGCGCTCGCACGGCCTTTCTGTGCGTGTACGGGAATTTGTGAAGCGCATAGAATGAAATCGGGTTTGTCTGGATAGAACAGTCCGTCACCATCTTTGGGCAAGCCTGTTTTGCGGCAGCCTACATAGTTATTCTCTTTCAACGCCGTAGCCTTCCTCCGCGTTTCATTTCAAGTCTTGATTTTTTCTTTTTGGTGCGTGCAGCGCGCGATGATTGGTTCAGCCCGCTTGCAGTGACGGGTTTTCACATAACTGTTGCTGTTGTGCCGAGGCTTGCGGCACCAGAGATTTCCCTGTCTCTTCTGACTAGTCCGCAGTCGAAACCAAGTGGAAGGCCGGCAATCCTTTAAAGCAAGAAGTCTGAGGCGATTGTGGTTTCAATCCTGGGAAAGTCCAAACTTGAAAAGATGGTTGCTCACCTCATGAAGAAAACCTCTAACGTGCTGTTTTTTGTTTGTTTTGTTAATGGAGTGGGACGAGAAACCGTTTATCAATGGCATCGCCCAATTTTAAGTAGCGCTAGAAGTCAAAGAGAAATGCCGCCAAACAGGAAAACGAATGACCTGAGGGATGTACAAATATCAAGTTGAAACAGGCGATTTGCGTAGCGCGAGTAAGATCATGGCTGCCCTATGGAACGGGTAGCGGGTTGAGTTAGGCATATATTTTGAAAACGAATTGGGGTGGTTACGCGTATGGACAAGGCCCTCGCAAAGCATCAGGTGTAGAATAAAATCAATATTACACAAGATTGCTGCTTCCTCGTCTCTTAATCATAATTAGCTTATTAAAAATAACTCCATTATTTTGATTGGGTTGACTTCCGTGATCAGAGCTCACTATGAGCAGTGCTTGGTATATGGATCCTGACTCCACTTTTTACCGTATGATTCCAGTTCAAGGCATAATTCTGTAGCAAACAAAAAGATCTCACCACTTTTGCAACTATGAACGCACTGTGCGACGCAATTTACTCAGTTTGATGTGCAGTTTATGCGTAAACGCTACTGATACTCTTTCATAATTAAGAGACCAAGGAGTGGATAAATTCAAACGGGAGGGCAACGGGTGGGCACACCAGAAAATGAATGGGTAGCTGATGGGTATGAACTCAGTCCCCATGGGAAGCGGGTGGTCGTATAACCGATCTTTTACTTGGGAGGACTTCCAGCTGTTGACATGCGATACGCGCAACAAGAAATTGATAGAGTTTGATTTGAATTTGGTATGTTTGAATTACATTTGGCAGAGATGGTGGGAGCGGGCGAGCGAGGTGCTCTCAAAAAGGTTACGATTCGTGATATCGGTGTCGTCGATGCCAGAGCATAGCGCTGATCTCCTGAGGATAACGTCTCGGCGCATCTTGGGCCGGTTCTACTGGAAGCGCTCTTTTCGATGAAGCACGTGATGCGATGGAAGAGAGGGGGAGGGGGGGGGGGGGGTACAGTGCGGATAGGAGGAAAGAGCGCAAGGACCTGGTAATTAGCGCGGAAATCTCTGAGTGCGGAAGAGGATGATGGCTGCACTGGGCTGAAAAATGTATTGGTGTTGCATGGCCCTTTTAATAACTTCCAACGCAGTCTGATATCCAGGGCGCAATTATTTATTGTAGTGTTGATGAGGTGAACAGTGTGTGTCAGGCATTCTCCGCATGATTGGGCGATTGTATCTTTAAGGAATGACTAAAGCCGCTGGGTAAAAGCCGTGACGTGACCATTTATTCAGCCATATGTTTGTGCGCTGAAGGTTTATCTTGTTTTGTGGGGGCCAGTGAGGGCAGGATCGGCGGCAGCTCTGGGGCACACACTCTGCTCTCATCTGATAAACGTATTGATTTACGGTAATTGGTATGTATGAAGGCGGCCCATGTGTGGCCATCGCAACAGAAACCGTCGGTCATTTGTAGAACCTAGACAGGTATATGTTTTCTCCAAGGGAATAATCATAACGAAATGTGTAACCGCTATATTCGTGTAGCAACTCCTCCGCGAGCCAAAGGACCTCCATGTTTGCTGTGTTCTGTGTGTGCTGAAGACAAACCTGGTATTGGCCAGGGCTTCATCGGGACACTGGTAGCTCGGAAAGTCGGTGGTTTTGTGGCATGCTCGCTGCAGACGGCTGCTGATGGTGCGCTGCCCGCGATGAGCGTCGGTGAAAGATTCTCGGGTTGATGCTCAGCAGCTGTTTGATGATGGGCTACATGCTGCCCCACTCCCCCGTGAAATCAGGGACGTCAGGCACGCTTGAAATCAGGTTGTACCGGATTTCCGGATACGTATATCACTTTTTTGTTCACCACTCCTTCACTTCTGAAGAAATTTTGAAATGCGCAAATAATATAAAAAGGTACGTGATATATACTTTCCAAGGCATGATGCAAACATGTTTTTCACATGCAATTATAGAACCCTCGCTGAAGTCTGTTACTCACGAATTTCATACTCCATGCGTCCTCCTTCCCTTTCAATGCACATGGTGGCGCACCTCTTGGCCCACGCCGAGCACGTGCGCCGTACGATATCCGGTGTATGATATTACTGAACGCTCGCTTGAAGTTTAGGAGACTGAGATTGGGCGAGTGCGCCGAGCGAGGTGAAATTAGAAAACCGAGTTCGACGTGACTAAGCAAGTTTGTTTACTCATCCCTACTAATCTGTGCCATGTTGGAGACTGAATTATTGGATGCACCCTATGTTCATGGCTCAATCCCCAATATTTACAATATGGATAGGATAAATATAATAAATGAATGATATCGGGCGCTCAATCAATGAGATATCATCATTTTAAATGGGGTATATTGATTTGGGATGCCCAGCATCTTGCAGAGATGCGGAAGGGATTGGAAAGGGGTTCATGCGAGCACATGTGAGACGGTAAAAGTGAAAAGAACGGCTCGCCTGTACAAAGCATAGTATGCTGGATGGCCTCGTGGGCTTCATTTTGTTGAAGAAACAACACAAAGCTAATGCTAGCCCAATGCTGCACGTACGGAGAACGCGCAGTGGGGTTGTCCTGCACCTAGCAGTACTGCACTCTCGCCTGACGAAGCTTCCAATGGCGTTTAACTGTGTGGAACAGCGAAGCCGAGCAGATCCCAGCAGATTTCAGGTTGTTTAATGGTTTAACTTACGCCGTTATTCATGACATCACCACCCGGGCCAGCGTGAGACGGGAACAGCTTAGGATTCGTGTTGAACCCAGCGCAACATATAACGCGGGGCGTCGACATTTTCGCGTTTTCCTCGCGCCAATTTGCAGTAGCAGAGACCCCCTTCCAATGAAAACAACTTCTGCTGCGCCATCAGCATCACGCGTGCACGGTATAATTCTATTCTACGTAGCCGAGCCTGAAAACATGACAGAACATGACTGCAAGTGCCTTGGAGGTATATACAAGGACACAAATTGAATATTGTACGTCAGTGTACGTCAGTTGCACAATTGTACGGTCAGCGATAACAGATTTGCCACGTCCTGGTATTTGACCTGCACAATCGCATGTGGACTGTTCCTCTGCTGCCGACGTCAGCGCTGAAAGTTCTGACCTGTCCGGGTATTTAGCAACAGAACTTGTGTGCCTGGCCAGAGTTCTGGCCTTGACAGAGCCCATGGCAGCGTAATTGGCCACGCTTGGTCCGGCTCAGAGGCCATTAAATTCGCCGCGCCAACCAGCATCCAACTGGATGGCAATGACGTTATTGCGTGGCTTAAGGGAAGTTAACTGGTTTCCAGCAGCGTTAAACGGCATCAGAGCTCATTCGTGATTTCGGCAAAGGCCGCTATCTCTTTAAACATCCAACTAAGTGGGATTTAATAGGGCCTAAATTGTAGAGTTAGGATCGCTTTAATTCATGAATGCTAGTACATTTTGATATATTTGAGACGCATCACAATATTTGCTAGACGAAGTGGATATGCTGGTTAAATATCGCAATATTGATTTCGACTGAAATATTATAATGTCACTTCAGATTTCGTTTATGCCTAGCCGCATGACATCAGGCTTGAGGGTGTTACATTTTGTGATTAAGTACTTAGTTGGGTGTATGTGCGTACACCTTTTCAGCTGCATGTTTGTTATTTGTGTCAGCCATTTTACGGCTCCAGTGAGCGGGATGTGATGGACTAGAGAGCAAAAAAGTGAAATGAGCAAGAAAAATGTAATTGCTGTTCTGGATTTGCATTACAATAGCTATATCAATAATTTACAATAATTTCTCTAGAAGCACCAAATTTTATCGTTGAACCGATATATGTGACATGCGCGCAGCCAGATGCTTAAGCTTTTGGAGATAGCGGCCGGCTTTTCGAGCGTTCCGTAGCCCGATGTCACAGTCGGCTCTACCCCGCCCCGGCTCGGGGTTATGCTGCTTGCACGCGACAGAGCATCGGCGACCGCACATTTCCTGGTTCGCTGAATCAGAAAATGGCCCTACCATGGCGCTCATGCATGGGGAGACGGCGGCGATGCCACGTGCCAGGGAGAGTGGCAGCGGGCCAGGACACGGCGGGCCGGCGCGCGGGTCCCGTCAGTCGGTCCGCTGTCCCGCGTGGCGGTCCGCCTCTGGTGGGGTCCGCAGACGCTGGTGAGTCCGCCTCTGGTGAGGTCCGTGTCCGGCCGCAACCTGTCATGTCTATGGAGACAACCCCGAAAGCATGCACTGAAAGGTGTATATTGTCTCTGGGGTGGTGAATCACCCTCGCTGTTTTTTAAACATGGCGTGGTGTAAGCTAGCTTCTGGCTAAGAACTATTCAATTTTCGTCCGGGTGTCTAGTAAACACGTGCTGCAACATACGTGCTGCTATTCTTTACGAAGAAGCAGCCGAACAATCCAAGGTATGACTAACGTGGTATGACAAGGCATGACTTGGCAACGAACAGTCCAGCGGCCCGTGGCCATTCGTTCACAGACATAGTAATCGCCGGACGCTGTTCGCAGACATAGTAACGACCATTCGTCGTTGGCAGACATGGTAACGACCGTTCGCCGTTCGCAGACACAGCAACGACCGTTCGTCGTTGGCAGACATGGTGACGACCGTCCGCCGTTCGCAGACAGAGTAACGACCGCTCGTCGTTGGCAGACATGGTGACGACCGTTCGCCGTTGGCAGACATGGTGACCATCCTAGCGTCACTGGTCGTGCTGGGGCTGGGCTCTGGCGTGCTGGGCCTCGTCACTGGTGGCCAGGTGTTCGCCGCCTCGGCACTGCGCGTGCTGCGCTTCTTCCAGATCCTGCGCATGGTGCGCATGGACCGACGAGGCGGCACGTGGAAGCTGCTCGGGTCCGTCGTGTACGCCCACAGGCAGGTGAGCCACGCTCGTCGGCGACGCGTCGGAATGGACGCGCGGACGCCGGCGCGTGGACTTGGACGTCGGTAATTGACGAGGGTGTGGTCGATGCCACGCGGCTGCAGCCCGTTAGCATCGGACTGCTACCGCTAGTAATGAGTCGGTGTTTCAGAAGTCTGGTGTTTGTGGGAACGCATGAGTTGGTCTGGTTATTCTTGCGGATGCCCGTTGTATTTGGTTGTTAACACGTTACAGGAATTGAACTTTGTTCCCCTGTGATGCTGTTGGCCAAGGTAGTGATGCACACCTCCAGTAACGTTCTCGCCGTTTTTGCAGGAACTCATCACGACATTATACATCGGGTTTTTAGGTCTCATCATCGCCTCATTTCTTGTTTATCTAGCTGAGAAGGACTCGAATGGGGAGCAGTTCTCGTCATACGCTGACGCGTTGTGGTGGGGCGTAGTAAGTAAAAATGGTGTTCGCATGCGATCAGTGACCTGAGCTGAATCGGTGTTTTACTTTGTCGGGTTTTTATTTTAAGGGAGCGTTTTAATCTGTACAAGAACTGGGGTATCTATTTGAAATGGAGGACAAATATTCAGTCATTTTCTTTTTATTTGTTTCTTCCGACTTGCAGGCTCTAACGTTAATTAACAACAAACTTCAAGTTATCTCCCTTACGCAGCTTGCCAAGTGCGCTCTGAAAGCTACGATTTTATGCATGCTTAATGTGAGCTAACTGTGTTTTCTTTGCTGAGTTGTGAAAAATCACCAGAATTAGCGGTCAGCCAAATTCTCGTGTTAGATGGAAGCTCAAAAGTGTGATAATTGTGCCCAACGTGTAGTACGACCCATGGCCGCGCCTGAGGCTTACAGGGTGACAGCATCGGTCGCATTATCCCCCCAGGTGACGCTCTGCACAGTCGGCTACGGCGATATTGTCCCCATCACGTGGAAGGGCAAGCTCATCGCGTCTGCATGTGCCTTACTAGGAATATCGTTCTTCGCGCTGCCAGCGGTGAGTTCTCCACGCGGCGCGGCACAGAGCCGATGCCGATGACGCGTTGAGGCATACCTACGCAGCCGATGAAGACAAGCGAGATCGTTAGACGGTATGTTTGTGAGGTCAACATCTCCTTTTTTCTTGTTGGCTCTGAGACGATATGCAGTTTGTGGTCGCGTGGTCATGTGATCACAGGTCGTGACAGGCTCCGCGTCCCTGTGCTGTGACTTCTCCGAGCGTGAAGGTAGCGGCGTTTTTTTTGCGCGCGGCAGAGGAATGCCTGGTCATCAGCAGCCCGAGACATATAACACAATTACTGCGCGCCAAAACTGACGCCGGCACAAGAACGTGCGCCAGTACCTTCCAACCGACGGTGTATTGACTGGGCAAGCGGGAAAGCCCTCCCGCACCGACGGGATTGTACGCTTCGTTGCATTACGCACTGCGTTGGCGCCCTACTATATGAAACGATGGGAAACTCCCACGTCTGAAACAGCACACGCGTGGGCAGTACAGGGTGTGGATGTCGGCCTTTGTGCAGACTAACTTCCAGGTCCACGTTATCAGGAAACGCTGCCGCGCACATCTATCGTGCTGATTTCGGTGTAAGTGCAGACATTATTTTTTCGACTATTGTTTTTCTCATCAGTCCATACACCGCTTACCACTCCTCAGTTCGAAGGGATAGGGCAGAGGCATGCCGGGCGGCGGACGACCGGCTCCGCGACGGTCCCCTGGGCCAGTGTGGCGTCCATAAGCGCCGAGCGATCGTGCGTGTCGCTCACGACAGACCGTGGGGCGACAGCGCGTTACGGCGCGTGACGTACCGCAGTAACGCAGTAACGGAGGCGACGGCGCAGGCGGCCACGTCACCACGTCTCCACATCACCGCGGACGCCACGAAAGCGGCAATGTAAGCGCTGGGCGCGCGATACTCCCCGAAACTCCGTCAGCCGCTGCCGCCAGAGAAAGAGTCACCGCAGTGAACAGGCAGCTATTGGACGGCGCTCGCCCACGAGTTCCACTCTGCTAAAGCAAACACTGTCCGCCACTGAGTCCAAGCCAAAAATCTTAGTACTGGAGTCGCCACACGGGCCAACGCCGATTTTTAAAATTAGGTTGTAAGCCTGTCAGAGACAGAGCCTGGGTGACGCAAAAGCACGTGCGTCACTTGCCAAGAAAAGGAAATCGGCATGGAAGTGCTTCATGGAGGTGTTTACGGTCACATTCAATGGGTGCTCTTCTAGTTTTATAAATAACTGATATCCCAGCAGATGCGTGATGAGTTATGACAGCAGTGTAAAACGCATTTGGGCTTGAAACAGTTATAACCCAACATTTTTCTCCTCATTCCATGATTCAGTGGCCGTAATGGTGCAGATACACCACTAAGAGATGACGGAAATAAAACCCATCACCAGGGCAGTAACGACTTGTGCGTGCCACAGATCATTGAGCAACGGAGACAAACCAGAGCTTGACGAGATAACTCAGATTCTATAAGGACACTTATAAGAAATAGGCAGCATGGGCGGGTGGGACAATCGCATTCTTTGGGCAGCTGCGTTGAATAGGGTATATCTGGCGACGCTCAAACGAGACATAGCATCTTGTCGAAGACTGAGTGTGACTGGCAGCCAAGTCAGCCTTATTTTCCTTGCATAGGTGCGTAAGGTACTTTTCTCTTCCCGACAGTCACCTCTTCGGAGGAAGCCTGACGATATAAACCGCACGGTGTTAAGAAATCATTTGTGTAAGCTTCACAAGACACAGCAGCTTCCCGCTTCCAAATCATTGTTGATGGATGTCAGCTGAGGTTGGCAAGGAAACGGATATATTGCCTGTGCAATGGTCGCCGGCATTGTAGTGTTCGCAATGTGCTGGTAGTACTGATGGGTAATCTGTTCGAATGAACATTCGCTCCAGCTAACGGCACGCTTGCGGGGCTATCGATATGAGTTAGTGGTGAACACTACCCTGGAGTCACCGAGGAGACTGGGCGTTCCCAGCACAGGCTGAGATGCTTGAAATATTAAGTCGCTGGTAGTGAATCGGTGAAAAATGGATTATGCCACATTATTGAAATTGCAGTCTTCTACCGTCTGGTATGCACAGTGAAACCCAAGATTAAAGTGCCTTTTAAAACAAAAATTCACAGGTTATAGTCATGAAAGAACAATGCTGTATACAGGGTGTAGTTATATTTCACACGCTCATTCGTACAGCGTGCACGGGTTGTAGTCATACAAGCCATTCCCACACGCCAGAAAACTGAGTTACAGCCATTTGGGCAATGCCCATGAACGCCCACCACGCCCTCCTCTGCATTCCGGCCGACGAAATTGACAAGCCTTGGGCAAGCGCTCAAATGCACATGTGTGGCTGGCGTACTGAACTCCGAAATGGCGCTGCCTGCGAGTCATGGGGAGTCATGACGTCACAACTCATTATGAAGGCGCGCATGGCCGCCGCGCCATGTACGCCGCCAGCGGCGACACGCCGTGCAATGCGTGTAACGGTGGCCATTGTGCCTCGAGAAACGGCGCGTAGCAGCAAGCGGCACGTCCGACATCAACACACCGGCCGCGGCGAGCTCGGTGGCCGCCGGCGTCGTGAGCGGCGGCCAGCGCGCGGCGCGCCTCGCGCAGCGCGGTCTGCACGCGAGGCGGCTGGCGTACCCCGTCAAAAATAGACACCGCCGCCAATTCCATCAGCGGACACTGCGGAGCACTTGAAGCGTCCATTCCTCGCGGTTCCTGGGTCGCACGTGGCGCCGTCGGCGTGTGGGCCGACCCGCCGCCGACCCGCCCACGCCCCTCCCTGACCGCCCACCGTCGCGGCCGCGGCGGGGCCTGCCACTGTCGCTGAATGCAACGCGAAGCCAGACGCGGACATCAATCAGCAACGTGCATCGCCGCGCGGCGGCGTCGTTACGTCCGGCGGCCGGCGCCGTCGACTTCGGCGGGCCTTCTAATTGGACCGCCCGACCGCAATCGATAGGCTTGCAATGCCGCCGGACCGTCGATGCGGCGAGCGTGGGTAGTGCGCAGGGGAGCCGAAGTTGGTGACGACGAGGCGGGATGGGGTGTCACGTTCACGCGGCCCAGCCGTCCACGGATGACTTTTTGTGGTATTGGATTGCCTCGGAGCGGAACGGCCAGTGGGATATATGGCGCGACTGCGGAGTTGGAAATAAGGTCATGCTGTCGGAGCTACGCTGTTTGCTGTCTGGCCATCGGCAGTCATTCCTCGGTGGTCCACCCTTCCGCCGAGTTAGAAGGGGATCGCGTCTTTTTACATGTTTTTTTTTCTTCTCAAGTTCATATTGCTAGTGCCAGGTTTCCCGCATAGTCGTCCTGTCTAGGGTATTGATGCATTGGACTGACTGGCTATACAGTCGGCGCGCTGGGCGCCGGAATAAACTACACGATGACGCTGATTTGCTGCTGTGCAACGCGCGAAATTGGGGCCTGATGTTTCTCAGAAAGGGCAAATAGAGAACGGCGACATAATAACTGGACCCTGTATGAGAAAGCCTAGAGCCTTCAAAGCAAAGCAATTGCTGCACGACGTACACTTGCATTAGTGGCGGCGTTGGAATTGCTTTTCTGAATGCAATGCAACCGTGAAGCCCGGAGAGTGGAGGCCGCGTCGTATAGTACTTATGGAAGGAGAGACAGACGCCGAATGATTGGTGCACAAATTAAGATGAAGTGCAACCAGAAGTAACACATCAGAAAACTCAGTGGCGAAAGAAGCACATAGTGCTATTGCCAACAAGGTAGGGTGAGGGGGTTTTGCGCACCGGAACGAAGCCTGAGGGTATCTGTCTTCGGGGGTTTGGCCTGACCGCCATTTTCTTTGCGGGCCAGCGGTATGCGCGCCACGTTGGTGTCTGGCGTCGAAAAGGGTGTGCTGGCCGTTGGGAGCATGTCAAAATGCACGCAACCCACACACCCACACCCACACCCACACCCACACCCACACCCACACCCACACCCACACCCACACCCACATCCACATCCACACCCACACCCACACCCACACCCACACCCACACCCACACCCACACCCACACCCACACCCACACCCACACCCACACCCACACCCACACCCACACCCACACCCACCCACACCCACACCCACCCCCACACCCACACACACATACACACACACACACACACACACACACACACCACACACACACATATATATATATATATATATATATATATATATATATATATATATATATCTCTCTCTCTCTCTCTCTCTCTCTCTCTCTCTCTCTCTCTCTCTCTCTCTCTCTCTCTCTCTCTCTCTCTCTCTCTCTCTCTCTCTCTCTCTCTTCGATGGCGCGGCGATCTGGGCGAACCGCGGCGGCTTGGCGCCGAAGCTCTTGTTCAAGCCACTAATGGTAAATGTTTTCCATGGATTACTTTGGGCTTGGAGCACCTGTGAGGCAAGGCGTGCTCCGCATACGCTGAACTCATCTGCCAGGCTGCTGCGGCCCAGTTCATCGGGGAATTAGACTTTCGTGTCTTGTTGCCAGACAGGCTTGCGGAGGGTCTTATGTGGCGTAAATGCTACTGCTCGGCCGCCCGAGCCAGGTCGATCCATTTTGGCCCATGTCAGCTGACCCCTCCAGGTCAGCCATGCCGATGGAGCATCCGTCCAGGACTCAGATTCGACTCCACTGGATTGCGAGCTCAGCGTCTTTCCACAATACCGTAGAACAGGGGTGTCCTTTTGTATACTTTGGCGTGTGGGGCGGGGGGGGGGGGGGTCTAACCCCACCAATGCTGCCTTGAGCGTCTCAATGCTCGCAGCAAGTGTCTGATTTGTTGGTCCACTAGTTATCTAAACACATCAGTGCATCACTATTATCATATTCCTGTAGCAGCAGCATCCATAGCACGCGGCTTCAAATAAGAGGCCATTCATCAACATCACAACAATTTTGGAGCCAACATGATTCTGAAACAAGGAGCAGTACGGATACCGGGGACGCGAACCAGAGCAGCAGAAATGAGGGGAGCAGAAATGCAGCAGAAATGCTCTGGGGGAGCAGCATCACTCGCATCTAGTGCGACTGCAGTGTACATACCTTTTGGAACACATTCGAGTGGTTGACAGAGGAGTGTCTTTGGCTTCAGAGCACCTGCTGAGCTTGCATGTGCCCTGAACGTACCTCCAAAGTGGAGCCAATCCCGTTTATCCGGCGGTTCTACCTCCCGACTTCTGTCAGACCAAACTGCAGAGGTTTGCACAGGCAGTGCAGCGCTGTGACACAGCCGTCCCTGAGCACGCGCTCTCTGCCCCTGACCCTGGATGGCCTTCGCCGCACACGTACCCGACCTCCACGCCGGCAGGGCATCCTGGGCTCTGGCCTGGCGCTGAAGGTGCAGCAGCAGCAGCGGCAGAAGCATATGATCCGGCGACGCCACCCGGCCGCCATCTTGATCCAGTGCCTGTGGCGCTGTTACGCGGCCGACGAGCACTCGCTCTCGGTGGCCACGTGGCGCGTGCACCAGGTGCCCTACCCCAGCCCGCCCACGTGAGTGCTGCTGACAGCGCCGGCCAGGTCAGGCGGTAGCCGGGCCTCCTGCCGGCGGACAGAGCCGACCGCTGATGGACCTCGTCATGATTTACTGCTAGCGTGGTCTGGGAGGCGTCTTCGAAGGTTTGATGGCTATTTATTTCACATACTTTGCAGTGTCATTGTGGTCTGTTCAGCAAAACGCTCAAACAATATGTGCCCCCGTATTTTTATGCGGACGATTTTGGGTCTGTCCAACCCGGCGTTTTTTTTTTTTTTGCTGTTGATTTTTCTGCCTCCCGCTTTTTCCCAGATGATGCTTATATGAGTACAGATTTTAGCATTTTGACATTTTAAGGTGGATTTTAAAAGGTCAAAGAGAACTAACAACGAGACTGCTTTCAAAACACGATGATTCAAGCGTCCAATCGTTTCATCGGTTAATGGCAGCAAACAACATTACCTACCTCGCTGTTAATGTACTTCATTCAATCACAGCTCGTTCCACCATTGCATTGCAGGCTCAGTCCTTCCACAGTCTCGTGTGTTAGCACCCGGCTTATATGTGCCCCATGTACATAGACGCAAAGCCAGTGTTCGACCACGTGTTGTGCACCGTCACGTAGTTAATGCTCATACCACCAATCTGTGTTATCCCCAACCCCCGCCGGATTGTGCACACTCGGTCCTCCGTGCGTGCGGACGGCCTCCGCTGTCGCTCGGGTGTCGTGTGATGTTTGTTCCTGTCGTCCGCCAAGGGCCAAGGCTGAGGAGCAGGTTCCCATGCACCTACGGCCGCTGCTTCCCCCCTCGAGCTCAGGCTTGTAAGTACCGTGGGGCGCGTAGCATCGGCGGCACGTAGCAGCACGCGCCGCGCGGCGGGGCCGGGGCTGGCGCCGGCCGCCGCCGAACGCCTGGCGCGGCTAGGCCGGAGCTCCAGCTGGCACGGGAGGCGCATGTAATCCGTAGGGCTCCAGCAGGGACGTGCCGCCCGCCAGCGCAGCCAGAGCGGTCCACGCGGCGCCGCCAGCGCAGCCGACTAACTTCCGCCAGAAAGCCGGCTCAGCTCCGACCTAAATGGTCGTCCTGGAGTATTGAGACGTGTCCTGGAAATCTGCAGAGTTGGGAAGCTTCTCAGCGGTGTTTTAATAGTCTTTCGGAGAAAAGTTTTGGACTTCCTTTTATCGAATTTCAGTCACGTCGGGTGAAGGGACTACACATTTGTCGGAAATGAATCTCTGAATCGTTTGGATGCTGCCATGCTCATTAACAATATGGGACATGCGCTGCGCTGCAGCTTAAGCCTGGACAATGACTAATGAATTAGCCTCTGCATGGGTGGTATTCGTTGGCGTAGTGATATTCGTTTGTCCTTCGCCCTTTCATTTTGACATGGCTATCTCCTCTTTCCCTCTTTATCTCTCCCTTCTCGTCCTCTGTTTCTCATTCTATATTCGCCTTACATCTCCCTCACGTATTACGCTTTGTTTGTTTTACTTTCTTCTCCGTTGCCTGCATGCTATATTCACCTTATTTTACTCGCGGTACGAATGACTCGAGTCGTTCTGTTCAACAAGCAGACAGGACCAGCTGTGCGCCTCTGCAAGGCCCGATATTGTAACTCCAGTACTCATGAGGAGCTTTATGGCATGCGTCTTTCGAATAACTAAGTCGTCTTGGTAGACCTGGGCTTACATTTCCGGGCTATCGACGTTATGCGATCGCTACGGAAGGGTACTCCGCTGAGGGCGGAGGAGAGGCTGTGGGTGTGGAGTGGACATCAGCAGGGACACTGCAGCCCATCCGAGGGCTGGGTCTCGGGGACAGCCGCCGGGCTCCAGGCGTCCTCACACGGGGTGTCCTCGCGCCTGGGTCCAGCGCTCCGTCCAGGCAGCCAGACGCAGCGTCGGGCCGTCCGGGCGCCGCCCCGGCCGGCTCCAGCTGCCGACCACCCGTGCCACCGTGGACAGGTGCTCCGGCGTCCTGGACACGCCTCTGTCTCGGATGGTCGCGCGTGCTCGTTGGGCGTCTGTTCTGCTTCGGCGGGATTGGCCGGGTGGGGTGGTTTCGTTCGATGTATGAGCAGGTCTGGATGATGAAAATAACTAGACAGCTTCCAGCATTGAAGGAAGTTTAATGAATAATCCAGCTTGCAAGCCCAACCATGCGGCAAATATGCACTTAAAAAGTGATGCAGTCATTATGGGGTGTTTCAAAATCGTAGATGAATTTAAACTCCGCTGAAACGTCGAGCAATGAGATGCATATGTTAGCGTGCTTGGGAACACATTGTAGTCTGGCTTGCATGCATTGCATTGTGGGCCTTGTGATCATTGCAGCGTAGATTATCGATGGTATGGTGTACCAATACTGCTTGCTTTGCGGCTGTCCTTACCTCGGTAAGCTGCACATCTCGGCCACTAGATGTCACGTTAGAGCTGCCGCTGATTTACAGCTGATGTGTAATTTAGGACAAGTGTCTGCTAGTACATGGTCGCTACATTAGTTATCCGATTACAGGCCTCGGGATTTGTTGTGTGCGAAAGGAGTATGGTCCTCGTGTATGTGACGTCATGCTGCTATGCAGACAACGTCACAATTGTTTCAACATTTGTGCTCGTGCCATGATTTCCGTCAAGATTAAGTAACGCAGCTCATCAACGTTCTTGATGACGTGTTTCCTGCGTAGGAATCTACATCTGCGGGGCTCATTTCTTCCCCCTTCATTAGCGGCCTTCACACCTATTGGCCATGCCGTCAGGATGCATATTTGGCATCGGCCAGTCTCTTGTTGATCTCCACTGGTCCGGTCTCTGTCGTCCGGAGACTGTGAACCAGACATTGTTTTGTAACGTCTTGACGGTCGCCCTCGGGCAAATACAGGCGTCTTTATTTCCCTTGCAGCAATCCTACATCTGGCTTATGTGTGGTGAGGGTCCTGCCGCAGTAATATATATATATATATATATATATATATATATATATATATATATATATATATTTAGGAATATGTTTTCAGATTCCTTCCTTTTCTCATGTTTGATTAAAGATAACTCCTGACTCAGCATTGACGAGCTTTTTGACGCATCGTTCTAGTTTCCGGGCCTTTAACCTGGCATCATCGCTTAGATTATAGATGGTTCGCACGCAATTGCTCATATATTCATCGTTCCTTACATTCTAACGTTTCGAGATCCTATCTCATCGTCGGAGAACACTGAAAGTCTTCTAAAGTCTTCTAAGGAGCGATGACTATATGAGCAATTTTGTGCGAACCATCTTCAATCCAAGCCATGGTGCCAAGTCAAAGGCCTGGAAACTAGAACGATGCGTCAAAAAGCTCCTCAATGCTGGGTAAGTAGTTATTTTTAATCAAACATATATATATATATATATATATATATATATATATATATATATCGCTGAGAGCGTTTACCTTCTCAGAGTGGTACCCATTTTTGCTTGTAGCGGTCCCGCTGCTATCGTGCTGCCGTTTTTAGCATGTGTTGGGTTGAAGTGTCTATCTCACATCTGTGCGCTCAATAGCCGCCCGCAAATGGGTGTAATGGAGGCGTGGTTAGCACATTCGACTTCCACCTGGGGGCCCTAGTTCCAATTCCTTCTACCCCTTTTACCCCTGGGCGGAATGGTGTGAGCATGGACTCTGGGCGCTGGTGTAATCACTGCCTTCGACAGGGCTCCATGACAAGGTGCTTCAAAAACTGGGCCGCATTCATTTAATATAATAGTCCACTCACGCCCAACTATGGAGGTACAGATATAGACGCGCACTCGGACTGCCCACATGGATACTTCATCCGGTTGATCATGTAAATGTTGTTCTTGTGACTACCCAATTAGGCATGGAGTGCCCAAACTCTGCCGCACTGCGCCTAAAAGCGTGATCGGAGCCGCGTATTTTCGGGAACGGGAGCGAAATACTTTCTGTTGTCACATAATCCGAGGATCGAGCCACCTCAAACCCTGATAAAATGTATTTTTAAGCCAGCCCACTCAGCAGCAGTTTCATGAACCGCTGGCTCCCATTAAGCACACAACGATGACATCGGTGGCCCCCACCACAGCAGCCCCCGACGTCGGGGCAGCCCGGCGTCGCCACCGCCGCAACGTCTCCCCAACGTCGCCTCCGCCCAAGCGCCGCCCTTGCGTCGCATGACTCGTCTGCGCCACTTCCAGCTTCAAGCACAACGCGTCATTTGTGTCTCGGCTGCCGACCATCCGGCGCAGTCGGCCTCTGAGCACCTCGGCGCAGCTGGCAGCGGCGCGCGCGCGCCACGGCGACATCAACTCGTCTATGGAGAACATGGGCACCACCAGGTAGGACTCGGTGCGCCGCTGACGTTACTGTCTGACGTCACAATCTGACGCCACTGTCTGACGTCACTGTCTGACGTCACGGTCTGACGTCACGGTCTGACGTCACGGTCTGACGTCACGGTCTGACGTCACGCTGACACTCGCCTCGCCGTTAATGACGCCTCCTGGCTGTGCGAGGTAACAGTTTTTGTGTGCGGTGAGCGTGTTGCTACCCGACTCGTGTTTTTAGTGTCTGGCAAGGTGATTTGTCCATCGTACACAACGATGACGCACTCAATGGGTAGCGACTTGTTCGTTCCCACAGTACTTTATCTAGTTGTTACTATCGTCACCCAACCGTCACTTTCACTCCAAGCCTTTTGTTTTAGGACCGTTTAGCATTACGGCGTACTCGTCACCTGCTGCTTGCAATATGCACTAAATCTGTATCTTTTCTGTATCGCGGATAGCAGATGACGCGCTAATATATTATCGTACAAAACTTGTATGTGTATGTGTGTGAATGTATGTGTATACGGCATGTTCGTTGTTTAAGGTATGTGCATACTTCGCAGCGGTCAGTTGCCCTTTGATTTCGACTATCAGGATGTTTGATTATGTGAAGGGGCCGGGGCATCGGCCCTGCCAAAAAGGCTGTAACCAAAAGCACGGCGCTAGACGGAGTGGTTGCCTGCTTGCTTATGTAATTGTTTAATCTCGGCAGTGGCCGAGCCTGTGATCTACGATCTCGTTGCCAACTTTCCGAAACTGCCCGTTTTATTACTTGGGCGTATTGGATTGTATTGACCTTTGCCGATGATCTAAGTTAGCAGCTCTTGGTTCGTCATGCATAAGTGAATTATCGGGTCATCAGTGAACTGGAACAAGCAGCCTAGGCGTACAATGCTGTGAAGGAAAGCGAAACCTGTATAATCCTGCTAAAGAACCACTTCGTCGTTGCAGGACTAGTACTTGCAAAGCTGCAGAATGTTGGGGTGGCCGGTGTTAGGGAACGCCTTAGTGGTAACTAACCATCCGTAACCAAAGTGTCAGTGCTATGTTTTGAGACAGTCTCCGTCTATGTTTTGAATGGTGATCTCACAAACTAAGAAATAGATAGTCTTACGTAAAAACAGAGGATTTGTCTCAACCAGATCTCTGCGATTGATAATGCGTTTCATGTCGCTAGGTCGATTACTGACCCCACTAGGCCACGCCAAAATTAAATTTTCCTGAAAACCGAACTATTTCAGATTCTCATGCTAATAACATGCACGTAACCATGTGACGCGGCAACATGAAACTTACACAAACCGTGTTGCTTGTTTAACTCTGGCAACATTATGACGAATGTTCTGTGCTTTAAGCATACATGTATGATATGGAGCTTTAATGACGTAGCAGTGTCAGTCCCCCCGCGCGCCATTGGTGGATTGGACAGTTGCCGCCCGCGCCGGCGACGTGGATCGGGGATCGCCGTGCAGCGTTCCTGAATGACCGCCGTTTTTCGCAAACCATAAATGGTAGAGCCATGTTTTTACATAAAGCTGCATGCAATGAACGTCTCAAAAGCTACTGAAAATTTGGTTGAACTGGCGTGATCTACACGACAGATGTGATCAGAAATCCTGGGGGGGGGGGGGGGGCGACGGGGTTGCATCAACATCCCTGAAAACCCCGGGGGCGGGGGCATGAACCCCCTCTCAGGGGAAGCTTCAAAACCAAAGTTATCCGACATTGCTACGAAAAACACAGGAAATAATCCCGATAGTTTTAATCCTCCATTGTTCGGCACTTCATCATTATCGTGCCTTGATTAGGAGAATACTGTCGATATGAGGACTCACCGTTCGAAAAAAAAAACAGCTTAACAGGTGTGGGTGCTAGGGGACATGCTCAGCACACTGAGAAAGGTCAGGAGGCAGCAAAGATGCTCGACGCACTCAATCACCATGTTGTCAGAGTTGCTAAGGGTAACGTGGGTATATTCCCAGCGTCTCCAAGCAAGGCGAGCTGCCGCACTTATGTGATCCGTAAAGGTGATTGATACCTAACAAGAAGGGAGTGAAGTAAGGAACGCCTTCCTAGACACAAGAAAGGTCACAGAGCTGCAGGAGAACCCGAATTCGCGGCTCATCCCGGAGACCAATGTCCAACGAGAAGAACAATGCCATCATTACATATGTCAAATCTTACTTTACATAAAGTGGCAACCCAATGATCTGTTACCCCCACCCGACTTGGAATGGAGGTGAATGCCGAGTTTGCAGGCCAGCTGATGGCGTGGCCGGCATCAGCCCGCACTGTGGGGTCACCCCACCGGTGACCTCGCTCAGTGGAAACCATGTACCGGCACAGGGTTTCGAGAACAGCGTCTGAAAGACGCTTTGCTGCAATGTCTGCCAGCTCACTAGCCAGATGGAGCTGGCTCTGTGGCCAACTCTGAGGGACGCACATTTCGGGCCTTTGACTAGAACTGCATGTTTGCTGTCCATTTTCGACGCTGCCTAAATTCTATGGAAGCATGTATGTTTCCAAGAAAATATTGACGTGAACGCTAAAATTCAATGGCGTCGACGCTCAATCCACCCATCAAATCCCAATCCAATCAAAATTAAAATCAAAATCATTCCTGAAGATCCGCGCGGAGTTGATGTGAGCCCAGAGGTTGTGCTGGCCGTGGGCCGAAGAAGCAGCATTTCCCACCGTCCGTGGGAGTTCGCGGGCCACTCTCGTCTCTTTTGACGCCCCCTACGCCCCAGCACGCCCCTGCTGCTGGCAGGGCGTCCAGGGTGCGGCTACCCGGGTGCGTCGCGCTGAGCCAATGGCGCCTCCTCAGTGGCGCTGCTCGCACCGCTGTTGCCAACTTAATCCCGTGCGCTTAGGCGTAGCCCGCAGTGGAGGCCGCCTGGCTCGGAGGGTCCGATTAGTGGTCAGATGACGCCAGCTGACATATTTATCTGCGCTGGAGCCATGCGCGCGGGTGACAGGTCGCATGAAAGGTCAGCGGGGTCGGCGCGCCTCGCCGCCGTTCTTTGCCAGTGGACCGGAGAGCGCGTGCGCCCTCGACAGGGGGGGGGGGGGGGGGGGCAGGGCCACTTAGGGAGCGTCGCTCACCGCTGGCGTAGGCGAGGTCCCGCGTCAGCTTGAGCGACCCCATCTCCGTCCGTAATCCATGCACCATTGATGAAGTGGATTATGCCCCGGAATGGGATAGCATGGAAGTTTAATGATCAACCCGGGCAGAGAGTGATGGGGACCTTTTCCCGATAAGTCTCCAATCCGGCAGCTCCCTCGGAAGACGGCTTAATAATAGATACCTTCTCTGCTTATAGACGGCCTCGTATTCCTCTGAAGTGCTCATTCTAGATACTTTGAGTCTCCCTGGAGGCCATCAACAACTAGGGTGATCGATAGATATCGCT